GTTACACTTGTAATAGATGCTTTCTGAGCTCTTACTGGCATGACTAATATTCTGAAGGAAGTAGACAAGCTAGTGAGGCAAGCTTGTAGATACAGAAGTAGTATGGAATAGCAGTAGTGTACTTACATAAACAGAGGAATTCTCCTCATTGTTTTCTACAAGCAGCATAAAGTTTATCCAAGAAAATACTCTCCATCAGTAAAGAGTCTAATTCTGACCTCTCTTCAGTTTTACATGGACTCTGCCGATGGTTCTGAGTTACTAGTATTCAGTGATTCTATTAGGCTCTTCAGAATTGAGTCCAAATCTTGTGATTGGGGGTGATGTAAAGAAATAGCCTAATTTTAAACTCTTTGCAATATATGATTTTCATTCAAAAAATACTGTATTCCCTACATATAAATAGAGGCAGTGAGATTTTGCAGTGATGGGAGCTAGTTTAAACACTCGAGCAGACCAAGACAGACAATTGCTCAGTAAGATTTTATACTGCTGTCAGTACCATGCCTTTCCTTTTGTTTAAGTAAAGTCTAGTGAATGGTACTTCACCAATGGGTATAAATGACCAAAGCTGAATGTTGCAGAAATAGTGGAGCTGCACAAAGTAGAAGGATGGAGAGGCAGAAGGCTTGTATTTATTAGCAACTCTGCTGTGGTGTGTTATGTGTTAAGCAAACCTGCCTTGGCTTTGAGAAGCAAAACTCCTTTGAAAGCCAGAGTCAAGAGCAAAGCTTGGATACTTAGAACCTCTGAATATCAGATTAATTGTTTGTGTGCCTCATTTTTCTTTATACAAAATGGAGATAAACCTAGCTTTTGATCTATATTTTTGTGAAGACTATATAAATTGCTGTTATTTGACATGACTATTACAGTTCATAATGCATAGACCAAATTGATATGTTGTGGCCTGTAAAATATACATCATACGTTATGTGTCTCTGAATTTTACATGCTACTCACTCTACTGAACAAATAGTTTGTACTCTGTTCTTGATACTGCTTTTTCTTCAAATCTTTCTTGAACTGTTAACATCCCTCCATTTTGTCAAAATAAGACAATAAAAAGACATGGAATCATACAATCTGAAAAGAAACAGTATTATTTTGGAATCTAACAACCAGATAAATATTTAAGCTCTAGTAACCGTTCATTAAGCTCATAACTTGCCTTTCAGTTAGGTATTTTGATGCAATCAGAGTGGATGCCAGGAGGAAAAACCCTTTAAGTCAAAGGGACTTGAACATGTGCTTAAATTTAAGCACAACCTGAAGTGCTTAATGGATAGGAAGGAACAAATGCCCCTGGCCCTAAACATCAAACATTTTAAGTAGATACATTAGTGATAATAGAGGTACGAGATCTGCTTCCCTGCTCTCTAATGTACCACTGCTTCTAATGTAGTCTAACACCTTAGGAAATGAGACCACATGGACAAAACAGAAGGTCTACCTGTTAAGAAATGCTTCTGTTTTCCTTTTTCTTTGCTGTCATTTGTAACATACAGGAACCTCAGGAAACTGCTAAGTGTTTAACTCCTATGAAATTATAACCCTGTGAAAATTAGACACAAGGAGCACTAATGAATGAAATGCTGTTGGAGGCAACAGAATGTGGTCAGTTTTTACTTAGCCTGATTCTACTGTTCAAGACATTTATTGAACATACTAAGCAATAAACCTACTAATTAGCCTCCATTAGCAGACAGGGAGAACCCTTAAATACTCCTTTAGTGCCGTAATTAACTAAGAGGGTTTACAGATTCTCCCTTTCTTTTTCTTCTCTTTTAAAGAAGGACATTTATCTCTGCTTGACATACATTTCTTCAGCAAATTTCCATACCCAACAATTTGCCACACACAGGTATTAACAGCTTGCTGTGAAATCACCCGATGGATTTTAGCTTCCCTGAAGTTGTTTTACCACTGGTAGCACTGGCTTGCTATTTTGCACCTACCTGGTGTTGGCTATAGTTTAGCCGCCTAGAAGGTGTTGCTTCAGACTGGCCGAAGAGCAAGGGATGTCCGTTTTGAGAGTAAAGCACCTCAGACAGAGTCTTGTTTTAATGGCAGATGCTTCTGACTAACTGGGCTAATTAGCTTTGTATCTGCGCAGGGTGCTGGAGGTCATTCCAGATGTGCAAGGCCTTGTTATACTTACCTGCTGCTGTCATAAGGGAATATGCATCTCTACTTTTTGTAGCTATTATTGTATTAGACCAAGTTTGCCCCAATATAGAGAATAAATAGAAGACTACAGACATTTGAAAATGCACAGGCACAGCCAGCTGAAGAGGTAAATTCCGATGTTCATATGGATTTTGCCATGTAATCAATGTATCTTTCCAAACCTTTGGGCTATAAGGTTTTTATGTGCTTGATGTTTTGAAATCTTGAACAAACTCTGTGTCTCTAATAACTCAATTTATGAATTTGTCCCTGAAGCTTTTTACTTTTTACATCAAAAGTTACTAGCTCTGTTTGGTTCTAATTTTCCTGTGTTGCCTACATTATCTGTTATCATTAGATGCTCATTCACAACAATCTTCTACTCAGTTTGACTTATATTTGGAGAGTCTTCGATATAATTTCTCATTGTTTATGTCTGGCCCTAAGGCAATCCTTCTTTCTGCTTGTTTCACCGTTTTTATGTTTAATACAAGCGCAATACTGAATTTCATCAAAATTGAGTTTTACTTAGGTAAAATACTTTCAAAATTGGATTTATGCCTTTTAGAGTTGAGTGTTTTGGTTTTTTTCAAACTTTGTTAGGAATTTGAGCCCTAGCAAAAGATGTAATCCTGGAAGCATATTTCATAGACAGGAAATGTGTCTGCCTCCTTCTTTATTTAGCTTTTCTACTTTCTTTCAGCCTCATAAAAAATGCAGATCCTCTGGGATTTTCAGTCACATTTTGATTATGCCTCAGGTCAACTACTTCAGCTCATTTTTTGGTGGGCTTCAGAAGGTAGTGTTCACAAGCACTGAGCTGTGAGCTCTCACCTGTCAGATGTTCAGGATGTCCAGAGTGTAAAGCGATTACATTTTGACCATAAAGCACCCACAAGAATGTTGCCATAACCAATTTAATCTGCTGCAGCTAACATGTCTGATTTTGCCTGAAGCAAATGAGGCAGTGATGACAAGAGTTGCTACCTGGTGAGTGGGTAGGAAGGGCAGGGAAAGGAGGTGGTGAGGCAGCATCTCAGGGTGGGGATGGGGAAAGGTAACCACGAAAGGTTACTAGGACAGATGGGTCAGGAAGTAAATGCCTGTCCGTGGGTGCTTACAAAGTGCATTTGTGGGTTTTGCCACAAGTGCCACATTTGTTCACGTTCGCACTGCAAGTATTTAGGAGGATGGGGAGGAGACCACAAATACCCTTGACTTATACTCTGTGGCTCTAGAGTCTGTAGACTCAAACTTGGCAATATGTGTTCCCAGGAGTATGCACTGGCTTGTGAGGCACCTAAACATCCTGGGATAAAAACATGATGGGGTGGTGTCCCCCAAATATGTTAATGTTGGAATAAATAGTCCTGCTGCTGTAGCTGTGCTGTGACAGCTGTAGCTCAGGGAGCAAGTGGGTACAGGCTGGAGTGTGCAAAAAATTTAGACTTGTGCCCTCAGTTTTCCAGCAAATATTCTGCTGGAGCATCTGTGCTGCAGGCTTGCAGTTCTCAAGTGTCCACATTCCTCTAAAGTGAAATTAAATATTAGGAATGCAACTGATACTTTAGAAAGCACTTTCTTCTTATATCTCCTTCTGGTGTATAGTAACAGAGAGATTAACAACGTTTGTAAGGACATGTGCTGCTATTACTATCATGTGTAAACAATCCAAAGGCCTTTCAGAGGAGTGGCTGGGAAAAGGCTGTGAATTATGTGGTGGATTAATTCCAGGAAACTGTTGTATTCAGCCCGAGGTCAATACTAATAGCCTGTTTCATAGCTATTATTTCATTATTGTTGGGTTTTATTCCTATACCAGGAACTTCTTTTCTAGTGTGGAGGATTTTTAATTCAATATATCTGAACTTGTCTGCAAAATATTTGAGTAGAATACTCTGAAGGTAGTATGTTCCAAACACAGTAATTCAATCTACCTCCTCTCCTGTTTTCTACTACTTGCTTTAGCTTTAATACAAGCCTTTTTCATAGGAAAAGAGAAGCCAGTGTAGAGAGGTGAAAATGATAGCAAGATTTCCTATCCCTTTCCCCTCTTCATATCTCATACAAAATACTGTGATAGAAACTATGTCAGAGTTTGGGAAGCAAAAGTAGATTTTTTTTTTCCAGGTTGTCCCATCCTGTCCCCGCTCCTTCCCCCTCCCTTGGCTCCTGAATTCAAAACTGTAAATACCTGCCTGAGTTTTGTCCCTAAACACACCTGTGCTTCAGTCTGCCTACCAAACCCAGCTATATCCTTTGGCCTTGGAGTATGCCATTCAGTGCAAATCAGAAGCAAGACGGAGATAGTGCTTGTTAGAGGAAGCCAAAGGCAAAAAGTATCCAGTGATGCTTGACTGTGCCTTGCAGATGGGCCCTCAGGCATTGATGGGTTTCTAAGCATTACAGTAAATGCACCCAGAATTTGTCTCACACTCTGTTGCTAAAACATGGTGTTTCTTTTCCAGGTGTCTTGTTTTCACTGGTAGTCGTGATGTATGTCATCTGGGTCCAGGCGATGGCTGATCTGGAAAACTACGCAAACATGAAAAAAATGGATTGCCCAGACTTTTCTGTTTATGTACGTTATGGCTGGTCTTTTATGCTGGCTCCTATAGGAGTATTTTTTGCTTTACTAATGCTGTTCTTGTTGGTAGGGCGTGCCATTTATTTACACTCAGACTAGTTGTACACTGCTGAAGTAACTACAGGAATCCTAGTGAAACTTCATGACAATTGTAAACTGGAACACAATTTTATACATTATCACCATTATGGCAATCCTAAGTGTGCAGGCAGACTTCTGGAATTTCTTCTATTACTTGTTAAAGGGTAAAGGACACGAAATTCAATACAGGAAGGAACCACCTTTAGTCCCAACTAGTTGTTTTTAATTCTTTAGAAAGTACACACATGGTTCTCCATGTTGTACTATTAGCAGCATTTTTATAGTTTTGCAAACAGAGGAAGGCAAAAATTTTCTGCAGACAAAAGCCCAACATGAAGTGGGCCAAATCAACATTTTATAAATTTGTCTTTTAACATTTACTTTGTGCTTCTGCTTGTGGAGAATGGTACAAGGTGGAGGAGAAGACAAACATTCAAAGACAGTAATTCAATCTATCTTGTCTCCTGTTTTCCACTACTTGCTTTAGCTTTAATACGAGCAAACATGTCTGCACTTTATAAAAATAGCATGCAGTTGTTCATGCAGCATCCACGGGAAGAGGACAAGAGAGAAGAAAATTGCCATGAACAGCGACCTGGTGCTAGTCCATACATGTAAAAGCTTAACTGCTTCTGTTACATGTTTCTCTTTTCTGTATGCATCTGAAAGCTGTATACTTCTGTATTCTGAAATACATGTTTTTTGCATGATTCTATAAGCCAAAATGGCATAGTTAAATCACTAGCTGAAGTTATGCCAAAACTGTACTTTGAATTATAGCATTAATATTTTAATCAAGTTTTAGCCCTTTTATTTTTTGAATGGAATAATTGGCTCCTCCAACAAACGTTCTCCTGGTTGTGTAAAATGACTTTTTTATTAAAAAAGGCTTATTATGAAGACAATATATAGGACATGAAAATATATATTTTAGGTAGCCTTCATTTTCCCAAATATTAAAAATCTGCATTATAGACCAAATCCAACCTGCCTACTGGTCATCCCAGGGAAAGAAATGAGCCTAGCTAAGATAGCAAGGGAGATGGATTTGGTTCTGTATTGTAGGAGTGGCTGGTTCTCTGTGTATGTGTGCGTGTGTGCGCGTATGTTTGGAAGATGGGGTGGGGATGGGACTGTATGCATGGTATGGAAAAGATGGGGTGGAGTTTTAACAATGGAGAAACTTTGTCTGACATTGGGCCCAAGTTGAAATTAAATCCATCTGAGCGTGTGTGCATTTTCACTTTGTAACTCAATGCAGAATAGTTTGGGACTGATGGGGAAAAGTAAAGATTGCGTGTTGGTTTCTTCTTCTTCATAATTCTTAATTCCACAGCTGTTATGAATACTGAAAGCATCACTAAAAGGCAGAAAAGGAGGGCCCACCTAGAAGATGTGGTGGGCCAGACTGGATGTTGCTTCCATTTTGGGAGCTTTTGTGATTGGAAGCTTTCCAGCCTTCCCTGCTACTTATTTATTTTTCCATCATCAAGATTAGCTTTATACATTATAGAACAGGAAGACAACGAGGGCAGGGGGTTGGGGGAGCTGAGACTATGAGGTTTGGAATAATTACCAAATCACAAAAATATTTTTATTGGCAGCTAACATGGTGTTTTTAATTACTGTGTCAGAGAGTATGATGGGTGAATTTTAACCAAATGTTCATAAGCATGTATATGAACTCCATATAAATGATAGCCATCCAGAGAACATTAGGGTTACACCATAATGCCCTTGGTTAGTCAGGAAATGCTGAAATTAACCCTTCCCCTTGTGTGTATGGTATTATATTCCTGCCCTTAATTACACAATCACATACTGTTTCTCTATAATACAGTCTGTTGGTATTTATTCCCTTTACAGTCTAGGATACTCACCGGTAATTGTGGAGGTAAATTCAATAATAGAGAGTTATTTGCCTAGGTACCCCTCCCAAACCCTGCCTGCTTCTCTGCAGGGGAGAATCCTTCTCCACAAGAGCTTAGAGGGGGCAATAAGCTTGAGCCAGTTTCTTGCAACTGTTAGAAGCTGGAGGAATTGAGAGGTGCCTCAGATCTGGACTTTGTCCAGCAAACCTAACCATGTGTGCAGCAGCAACTAGTAAACTCTGCAAGGAATGAACCAAAGACTCCCATGGAGCCCTTAATTCAGCCCATGTGCATCTTCAGAACTCTCTCCGTTATGCAGCTAAATGAGTTACACTCTTGCATGGGAGGCAGCCTCTCTTGGAGGCAACCCTTTGGGTCAGACTGTGGACCTAAGGCTGTTGAAGATCCAAGGTGTTTCTGAGGGTTTCCTTGGAAACTTCGGGAAGCCTTTCTGGTGTCAGTAGAAATTGCTTGAGTACTCATAAATTATTCTCTCAAACTCACACTTTTGTCCATAGCCTGTATCTCTATCAATGTGCTTTAATTGGGTAACACCTTCTTCTCTTAATGGCAGAACTGAGAGTTAGGTTCCTTCTGAAATAGTGGGGACAGGTTGCTTGCTCCCTCCAAAACATGTATGTAGGTAAGCACATGATGTGTAATAAGTAGCTACTGCAAACCAGGGAATGGTGTTGAGGGTGGTGGGGAGGCATTTCTGTATGAACGTTACCTAAAAGCACCATCTAACTCTTGTTCTTCTGATTTCATTAAAGAACTAAGTGCAGGGGATTGGGTTTGTAAGAAGTCGGGGAAGACAGGCCAGCTAAGGAAACTCGCTCTGTGGCATTCTTCCAGATTTGCTTTTGTCTAGAAAATCCTTGGCAGCAATGCAGGCATTTTCATGATTAGAGCTGAGTAAAATATTGTAAAGTGGATTAAATACTGTAATCAAAATATTCTGTGAAATTGGTCAAAGAACTATGTTCCTCACAAACCTATATGGGTTTGGGTTTGTTGGGGGTTTTTTTTTTGTTGTTTGGGGGTTTTTTTTAATTGCCTGGCTGGCTTAATAGCCTGTAGTCATACTGGAAGAAGATAATTTTTTTTTTTTTTAAGTAACATGTTTGGAAAATTGATGGTAAAAGGAACAGATAGGTAAGAAGCATTTTCTTATTATTTTTCAATCTGACAATCACCTCCTTGTCCAGTGCAAACATGGCAAGAACCATGACTGCCCATGAAGGAGGCAGTGAGAAAATGAGCGGATGGAGGTGAGAAAGGAGGGAAAGAAAGGAGGGCAAGCATCCCTCTGTGCCCTCTGCCAGCCCGCTGTGCAGCTGTTGTGGATTCCTGGGGGATGCACTGAATCAATGTGGCAAAGGCAGCTGCAGACAAAAACAGTCAGAAAAAGATTTGCCCCGAGTTTTGCCTTGTTACTCATTAGGGTGGCTGCTGGAGGTTTTACTGAAGCTGACCTTCATGAAATATGTGGCTGTTTATTGACATTTACATTAGTGAGGTAAAGCAATATTCTCCTCTGAGGAAATGCAAATAGATCCTGCTTTGTTTCTCTACAGGGTCCCTGTCTGCTGCAACTGAGACTGTACTCCATAGTGTGCTAGTAAACTGGTAGTAGGACAATCCCAAGTGGTGTCTGTATTGCTGTCCGCATTCTTGCAAAATCCTAACTGGCTGCAAAGTATGTTATGCTTATTATCTTTTAAGAAGTCATATTGAATCTCTTAAATGGGTTATTTACCTTCTGATTCAGCAGCTGGGTTTTCCTCTGTCTCTCCTGCTCCTGTCTGTCCGTTGGGCAGTGTTATTTCCAGGCAGTGGAGACTAGATAAAGTACGTTCACATGTAATTCTGCTGTGTTAACTTCGAGTAAGTCTAGACTGATGCTGCTGAAGTTGGTGGTGACAATGAAATTGAAAACAGAAGTCAGCCATCTGTAATCAAAAGTGACAGAAGCCATGAAGAATCACAAGTATTTATAGTACCACTTTTCCCTCCATGTCTCTTACTCACATTACCAGTTTAAACTGGTCTGTCTTTACAGTCCACAACTTGGCTCATCTGCCCAGCAGACATGTTGACAATAGGGATCAGGAGAGCCATTTGACATGCAGGTGAGAAGGATTGGAGGGTTGTCAGAATCTCCTATATTAGAAACCTCCAACTCTTCCCTACATCCCAAAGAGCCCAGAGGGGCCTCATGAAGTGCTACAAAACTCCACATTTTGCTGTGAGGATAAGGGGAGGTCCTGGAGCAGAAGTCACCCCACGTTATTTGTTGTAGGTCTGTTCTTTATCTTTTTCTAAAAACTGCCAAGGGTGCATTTGGTACAAACTCAGGGGAGCCTCTGCAAAGGGAAGGCTCCTTTCATGCTGGGAGGCAGCCACTCTGAGCTGGGTTGCAGCAAGGCGATGGTCTCAGCGGTGGTACTTCACATTTGGCACAACACTCCCCCCCACCTTGTGCCTGAGGAGATGTTCTCTGAAATGACCAGCACGTGATTCAGATTCTAAACCAGTTAAGAAAAAGATCTTAAAGTAATGCATCTTTAAGATGGAAACACGTTTAAAACAGAAAGAAACCCAGAAAGATAATGAAAAACGTTTCTATCCCTCCCCCCTTTTTCTATACCACATCAGATTGACTTATCCTCTGTTATGTGGCTTTACTTTGAAACAGATCACTCTCATTGCAACACATTTAATGCTGCCAGCCACCACATGGTTATTTGGCAGCTATTTAAAGCTCAGATCATATTACTCTGTCGCAGTGCTAGGCACCCATGTTCCAACTGGTATACAACTGATCTAAAGAGAAATCAGCTTTAGGTTTTGTTCTCTGAAATTAAATGTGACGGCATGATCTCTATGATCCTTTTTCCTCCCCTTTTCTCCTTTTTTTTTTTTTTTTGTAGGCATTATTACTTTTTGGAACAGCCTTTTATAGCACCACAGGGGAAATTCAGTTAGGTTGTCAGCCTGATATAGTGTATTATCAGACGTGTTAGCTTTTCCTCCCTCTTACATTTGCTTAAGAGCTTATAAACCACAGAGAATAAAAAGTGCTAAATAGAATGAAATGTCCTGTCAAGGGTAGATACAGTATTTGTGAATGACTTAAAAAAATTCCACCAGCTTCAAGCACTCCAGTCTCACTGACTGTGCTATCTTGAAATTTGGCCTCTTTCTTTTTCCCCCCCAAGTAAAGGGCTTTGATGGTCATTGATCTTTGATGATTGCTTCTTGAAAAGGACTAATTTTATCTTCCCATGTTCAGTCTAGGACGAGATTTTGTGGCAGGAGAGAATGCTATTATGAGATTCGAAGTAGATTTGAATCCTGCTCTTAATATAATGAGCACTGGAACAGGCTGCCCAGAGAGGTTGTGGAGTCTCCTTCTCTGGAGACATTCAAAGCCCGCCTGGATGCGTTCCTGTGTGATCTGATCTAGGTGTTCCTGCTCTGGCAGGGGGATTGGACTAGGTGATCTTTCGAGGTCCCTTCCAACC